AAAAAAAAAAAAAAAAAAGTGCTGAATATTCCAGGTGTGTGGCAGCCTCATTTTTATTCACCATTACTGTTACCTATTTTAATTTCAATTTTCCAAATTTCTGGCTTACAACCCACTGAAATGATTGAACAAATGGAGTCTATAACATTCAGGCTCTTCATGATCTCTCTGGCCTCACCACCTATATCCTGTGAAACACAGCCGCTACCTCTACAGCTATTCAATATTTTCTGAGTCCCCTCCACAGCCGTCCCTGGGCTGGGAACCAGAAACAGAAAAGAACAAAAGCACAAGGTTCCTGCCCTCTGGGCGTCTGCAGTCTGTCTAATCCTGGTTCTCTATAAACAAGTTCCTTTCACCTTCCAGTCTTACTAGTTCTTGTCCTGAATGCCCTCTCCCCATCCATTGTCCGTAAACCCTTCCTCATACCTTGTGTTATGGTTTGGGCCTAGATGTCCCCTCAAAGTCTCATGCTGTCCTAGGTGGCTCAATCTAGAGTGTGTGACTAAGGCCTGAGGGCGCTAGGATTAAGGGTATGAGCTCTACCCTCCCTAGTAGTCTGAATAAGATAAAAGGGGCAGAAAGAGGCTATCAAGGTCTCTTGTTGTTTTTGTTGTTTTCCAAGCCCATGAACTTTTGCCCCTCTGCCACCCTGCCTCTACAGCCAGCCAATTACACACTGGAACCCCTACAAACCAAAAGCCAAATAAAACTTTGCTGCTCTAACTTTGGTTGTCGGGTATTTTGTCTCAGCAATGAGAGAAAAGTAACTAAGACACCTTGCTTCCCCTGGAATCCCCTTCCTGAGCAGCCTACACAGGATGGACCAACCACATCTTCCTGAACAATCCCATTTCCTTCCTTGCTTCCTCCGGAATGTTACCTTCAAACACCTCCTCCCTAACCATCAGGCCACCAGCGTGAATTCATAGCAGGCCACAACCAACCATAGGAGAAACACTGCATTATTCCACTAACTCCTCACATTCACCCTGTGCAGTTACTTTGGAAACGGAGACGCAAGAAGGTAAAATCACCCACCCAGGACTGCAGAGCCAGTAAGAGGCATACCTGGGCCGTGTGTGTAGTCACTGTGCTGACATTTCCCTGGGAACGTGAGCAAGCAGGGAGCGAGGAGAGGAGGCCAGCAGGTCAGTGCGTGGGGGAGGGACCAAGGGGCTCACCTGTTGTGTGATGCGCCACAGCCTTTGCCAACATGGTCTTCCCGCAGCCAGGTGGGCCATACATGAGGACCCCTCGGGGAGGATCAATGCCAATCTGAGGCCCAGAAGTGCGCAAGGGATCATGAGCCAGGGCGTCTCGTCACAGACACAGTGGGCCTGCCCTGCCCTGCCACCTGTGCCACCTCACCTGCTTATAGAGCTCAAAGTGCGTAAGTGGGAGCTCCACAGCCTCCCGCACCTCCTGCTTCTGGATGTCCATGCCCCCAATGTCTGCGTACATCACGTCTGGCTTCTGGTCTGTAGGAGAGCAAAGCTGGGGCTCGAAGCCTGGCCTGTGGGGTCCCCTCAGGTTCCGCAGGCCCTCGGCTTCCCCCCCTCACCTGATGTGAGCATCATGATGCTGCTGTCAGCCTCGGGAGGCAGCACATCCACCAGGGCATTGCTGTGCTTGTGCAGGGCCACTGAGGCATTGGGCTTGAGCAGCTCCCGATCTATGGTGCTCAGAATGCGCACGTAATAGTTTGAGCCTTTGGGAAGGGGACGGGGGAGAGAGGGAAAAATGAGATGTGTCAGAGCCTTGACACTGCCCCTTCCCCACTCCCCTTTATCTCATAGTTGCCCTCCAGGTCCCCAAATCTCTCACTCAGACCCAGTCAGGCCCCTCTTGGCCTCTCGTCTTGCCTTCCCTAGTCTGTCCTGAACGTTCACACCAACTTCCTGTCTGTCTACAGCCCCGACTGTCCCTTGAGCTCCAGCCCTGAATGTCAAGCACGCCTCCCTCCAGAAGTCCCTTGGACCTCACTCACTCATTGTGTCCCGCTGTGACGTTGGTGTCTTCCCCCAAACTGCTGCTCCCTCCTGGATCTGTCTCCAGGAGACCTGCTGACCTCCATTCCCAGCTACAGCCTCAAGTCTTGTCCTGGATCCTCCTCCCACTCCCACCTCAGCCCACTGGTCACCACCCAGCATCCCAACTCTTTCCAACCAGTCCTCTTCTCCTCCCTCTGGCCCCTGATCCAACCCCATCTTCTCTCATCCATGTCTCTGCATAACTCCTCCCAGTCATCAGCCTCCACTCTCACCTCTCCAAATTCTCTCCTACATTTAAGACTGCACAGCAGTCTTTCTGCTGTCACACCCACTATTTAGCAGGCCTTGAAACAATTCCCTGTGATGCTCTGGATTGCGCTCACCATCTTCCCTCCAGACCTGCACCTCCAATCACACTGCATTTTCAGTGAAAGCTTGTTGCCCACTCAAGTCCCACAGGTCAAATACAGGCCTCAACCTGGAGACTGGCTACCTCTCTTCCTTCACATCCTCGCAGCTCATCAATCTAACTCCAAGCAGCCACACACCTTTGCCTAGAACCTTTGCATAAACATGCCTTAGCCCAGAAGAGCAGAGCCCAGGACAGATAAGAAACAATGACCAAACAGCCAGGGTCTGGACGTATGTCAATAATAGCAGCTATCACCCACTGAATCCTTACCATAGTCTAAATTCCTAAGTGACCCCAGTAGTTAAAAATGCAGAACCCAACCCAGAAATGGTCACAGATTAATTTAGAGGCAACACTAGAATTCTGTTTAGATCAAAACACATTAAAATAAAAAAACAACTGAGTATATCACACATGTAAGACTATACATACCGACAAACACACATATGCAGTGACAGAGACAGACATTCACAAGGCAACCCCCACACACATACTTTTGGAGCAGTCAAAATATTCTAAAGAGATGGGCATAACAACAGCAAACACCTATAATCCCAGCACCTTGGGATGATGAGGCAGGAGGATCACAGGTTTAAGCCCAGCCTGGGAAACTGAACAAGACCTTGTCTCAAAAAAATAAAGGGCTGGGGATGTAGCTCGGTGCAAAAACCATAGGTTCAATCCCCAATACCAGAAAAGCAAAACAAAACAAACTCAGAAGAGCGGGCAGACCCACTTCCTGGCACATGGCAGGAATCAGTGTTGAGTGGTCAGATGAATGAAGGAAGCCCCCATCCACCCAACCACTCACCTGTCGTAGAGCCCACAATGGCTGTGTTCTGATCCACAGCCTCCAGAAACTGCCCAATGACCAACGGGATGCTCTGAATTCGCTTCACCTCCTCCTGGGCGTGGAGGAATTCCTTCTTCAGGTTCTTTTGCTCATCCTTGATGTACTCCTCTTGTACCTCCAAGAACTCCAGCTCTTGCTGTAGCTTCTGTGAGCACAGAGTGAGGGGAGGGATGGCTCCAGGCCTTGCTGAGCCAGGGTGGAGAGTATGAGATGCTGGTGGGGGTCCCGGTTGGACATAAACATACCTTGTAGCGGCTGTACAGGTCCTCCAGATCTTCGGGCTCTGGCCCCAGGAAGGACAGGCCAGTCTGGGGCCGGGACACAGACAGTGCTGGGATCTCATCCTACACCAATGGGGAAAAAGTTGGAAAAGAATCCCCTCATGGAAGCGTTTAGAGCTCCCTCCCCACATCACTACAGTCACTCAGCCTTTTCAGGTTCCTGATATCATTCGTTCCTTCTGAAAACCCTAAATAGGCTTCCAATGTCACCGAACCTCCTAAATGAGCCCTTTATGCCAACTTGTCTCCCACACAGACTTTTTGCTATTAAATGCTATTCATAACATCCTCAGCAACATCCAACCATCAATTAGGATTACACATTACATCAGCTTCTTACAAGAGCCTAAACTCAACTTCCCTAGACAACCTCAAAAGGTTCCTGATGTCACATGGCTCACTTATAAACAGACTATTAAGGTCGCTTCACCTTCAGACTCCTAGCTTTCACTACCCAGTTTGCCCGAAATGATCTCTCACGCCACAGGCTCTAAACTCACAATCGGTCACACAGAATACTTACCGTAACTGTTCCCCTGCCCCAAGCCACCGCCGAAGGTCAATCAACCCCCTAGCCGCTTAGCCCCCTGGCCCACACAGCCGCATCGCACACAACCCTCACCATCCTACCCAATCCCAACGATGTCTCTAAGCACTCGCAGCCCGACATCCAAATCAATCAGTCTCAGGTAGCTTATACCGCCACTCATTTCTCAGCTCGGCCTTCTGGGTCTTACCGCCCTTCTAACACCACTTGGCCACCCAAACAGGCCTCTACCGAGTCTTCTGAAATCACAAGCCGGGCTGGGATCGTCGAAGTCACTCGGTCCCCCACTCGAGCCTGGCTTCACCCTCTCCCCAATCCCAGCTCGGAGCAAAAAGCCCAAGCCCCCACCGCACCTGAGCTTTTTCCACCAAGATGCCTATCTCCTCCATAGTGACCAAGCCGGTCTCCGTGTGGCTCGGCCTAATACAGTCACCACTTCCGGTGACGCCAAACGGAAGTTCCTGGTCTAAGAGGATCCTGGGAAATGTAGTTTATGACACAACGGAGAGCGGATTGGATAGGCAGGAATAGGATGAAGCGGGGTTGGGGGGACTTTGGTCAAAACTCCCAGCCCAGCGTTTTGGGAGAGTTAGGGACCAGGCTCCGAGACACGCGTGTGCGCAACAGCGCTCCTGTGCTGCTCTTTCGCTGACCCTGCGCTCTGGCTTTCTCTCCAATAGCTGGCTGGGCTGTGTTGCTACTGTAAAGGGGAAAATTGTGTGCTCTGTCTGGGAGAATGGAGTTCAAATACTCTTTTTGTTTGTTTTTGTTTTTTCTTTTTTTTGGTAGTAAGGATTGAGACAAGGCCTTCGCACAGAGATACATCCCCAGGCATTTAAAAAAAATTTAAATTTTGAAATAGGATTTTCCTAAGCGTAGTTGTCCAGGCTGGGTTTGACCTTGCAGTCTCCTGCCTCAGGCTTACTGAGCGCTGAGAAGTGCAGGCCCGGGCCACACCCGGTCTAAGGGATTTCTAATGGAATGAAATGTACCATTTAGTGGCAGAGCTGGAGAAGTCTTGGGCTGAGTTCCACAAAATGATTTTTTTAAAGGGGTCTTCATGTGGGCGGCTCCTCCCAGGACTGTGCCCCCGAAAGGTGACACTTTGTAATCAGTCTCTATCCTGAGAATGAGGAGCCCAGAGAGAATTAAGTATATCAGGGCTGAAGAAAATGAGCTCCAAGAGTTGGGTCACACAAGAGGCCCTGAGACTTTGCCAGGTCTTGTACTTAAGCCTTACAGGCATCGTGTCATTGAGTCTTCTTTTTCTTTCAGGGCTGGGGATGGAACTTGGGAACTCAGATATCCTAGGTGTATGCTCTACCACTGAGCTACACAGTCAGCCCACGTCTTAGCACTGTTTTATGGAGAAGGAAACAGCCATGAAGCCACGTGCCACAGTCAGAACAGGCCAAAGTCGCAAGTATGATGTCTCCAAAACCTGTGCTTCTAACATCAGGGAGATACACTTACACCCTTCACACCAACAGTATGAAGTAAACGTTTTAAGTAAGATTTTTATTAAAGGACAAAAATCATTACTATACAGCTCAAATTATTTTCACAAATTGAACACATTCATATAACCAGTACCCAGATAAAGCAACCAAGTATTAGCAGCCCCCCCAAAACCCCACATTCCCCTTTGTCCCTTTCTCCCTTTTCCTGTTAAGGCTATCCTTTGCCTGACTACTAACAGCAGGGGTTACTTTTGTGTGTTTGTGACTCACACCCTATATCTGTACAGTGTGTACTGTGTGTTCATATCTGTACAGTGTGTACTGTGTGTTCAGCTTTTTTTTTTTTAACTTGTTTGCAGCTGGAGGTGGTGATGCACATGTACAATCCCAGCACTCTGGGAGGGGGATAGCAAATTTAGCAACTTAGCAAGATGGTCTCAAGATAAAATAATGACTTTTTTTTTGTACCAGGAATCAAACTCAGGCCCTTGTGCTTGCAAGGCAGGTGGTGGAACCACTGAATCAAATCCCTGGCTCAAGATAAAATAATAATAATAATAATAAAGGTGGGGCAGTAGCTCAGTGTGAAGTCCCTGGATTCAATCCCAGTACTACAAATGAAACATCCACACACAAGAAAGCCAATGTGATGTTTGTGAGATTCATTCATGTGGCATGTAAAAACAGGTCTTTCACTTCTGGATGTTTTCCATTATGTGTCTTGTGTATCTCAGTCCCCAGCTGGGGACTATCTTGGTGCTATGAATATTCAAGTGCAATTCTTTGGGTAAATATATGAATTAATTTCTTTTAATAATATATTTGAATGAAATTATTGGTCATAAGGCAGCTACATGTTTTGGTTTGTAGACACTGTCAAACTCTATGAACTTACACTCCCACCAGTTGTGTATGCACTTAAGATTGTCTGTTTTTGTTGTTGTTGTTGTGTGGTTGTTTTGTTTTGTCTTCTGGTACCAGGGATTGAACTCAGGACCTTGCACATGTGAGGCAGGAGTGGTGCCACTGAGCTAAATCTCTGCCCCCAAGATTGTCTATTTTTTAAAAGCTTTCTTTTTTTTTCTTTCTATCTAATGGGTTTACTTTTTTGTGCATCTACTTTTTGGCCAGGCAAGTTCAAAAAACCATGTTCTCTGAATCTTTATAACAATTCTCTGAGGTAGGTTTGCTTTCTTCATTCTACAAATGTAAAAACTGAGGCTCAACGTGGGGTGAGGTTCTTCCATTAAGCCAGAAAGGATTTGTGCCTTGTGTTCATTGCCAGCTGTATGAGGGGAATCCAGAGATTAATTAGATCTGGCTCCAGCCTTCTTTGTTTAAGGTTCTAGTATTTTCTTTCCATAAAAATGAGAAACAAAGGCAATAAATCTCTCTCTTTTTTCCTCTGCAGGGACAACTCAATCTTGTCTTCAGATCTTGCAGCCAAAAGGCCTCCCAGATTTCTACCCAAGGCTTAGAATCTATCACATAAAATGGAACCTGTCATTGTCTGTCTACCCCCCATTCTTCTAGTAGGCAGGCTTTAGACTCAAACCCATCTGAAAGCTTTGTCTTTATTTCTGTCAAGCCTAGTCAAATCATCACGAAGTTCGCTGTGGCCCTTCTGGCAACAACAAATCAATGTATCCCTTTCAAATTTTTGCAGATAATAACCACAAACAACATTTTCCTTCTTTAATTTCCTCCTTCAGTGTTTTATTCCGTTCAGCCTAGAGATTCTGCACATAGTTTGATATATGTAAACTATTTCACTTTTGCAAGTTATTTACAATGATACTATTATAAAAATAGATGAAATGATGAGGTCTGACACACATATACACACATGGAACCATCATAATCAAAATAGTCAACATAGCTACTACCCTCAAATGTGCCTTTATGTCACCTAGTATCTTTCCCATCTCTTCTTGCCTTTCTATTCAAGGAACTTCATTTTAGAAACACATTTAGGGCCAGGGATTTAGCTCAGTGGTTCTGCCACCTGCCATGCAAGTGCAAGGGCCCAAGTTCGATCGCTGGTATCAAAAAAAGAAAAAAATAAAGAAAGAAATAAAGAAATACATTTAAATAGAATCTATACGTGCATTTTTTCACTCAGCATAATTATACGGAGAAGCCGGGCATGCTGGTGTACACCTTTAATCCCAACACTTGGGAGGCTGTGAATTCGAGACCAGACTGGGCTACATAGTTCCCGGTCGGTCTCAACTACATAGTGAGACCCTGTCTCAAACAAACAAACAAACAAACAAACATAATTATACGGAGCTATACCCATTGTATTCTGTATCAACAGTTCCTTTTTATTGCTGAGTAGTATTCCATTATATTGATTGACAGCCTTTGACTATTACAAGTAAAATTGGTGTTTGGTTTGGTGGATACTTGACAAGCTGCAAATGGTTGTATAAATTTCAGCTAGTACAAGTGGATTCATAATACCATTTCTGTTTGGTTTCTTTAAAAACTATAAATAGTGAAAATTGACAAACCTTTAGCTATACTAAAAACAGAAAAATGAGGCAGGAGGATCACAAGTTTGAGGTCAGTCTGAGCATCATAGTAACATAGTAAGCCCTATCTCAAAAAATAAAAAAAAACAAAAACAAAAAGGAGTAGGGATGTAACTCAGCATGAATACCCTAGGTTCAATCCTCAGCACTGAAATAAAGAAAAAAGAAAAGATTCAAATAAATAGAATCAGATATGAAAAGGGAGACATTAGAACTGATTGACACCACGGAAACATAAAATATCCTTAGAGATTACTATGAACAACTATATGACAACAAATTTGATAACCTAGAAGAAATGGACAAATTCCTGGACATATATACACCTTATCAAGATTGAGTCATGCAGAAATAGAAAACCCGAATAAACCAATAACAAATAATAAGATTGAATCAATAATAAAACTGTGCCTGAACCAGATGCCTTCACTGTGTTCTCCCAAACATTTAAAGTATAACTAATATGTATTCTTAAATTAGTCCAAAGAATTGAAGAGGAAGGAATTCTGCCTAACACATTTTACAAGGCCAGCATTACCTTGATACCAAAACCAGATAAGAATATGGTAGCAACAACAGAGAGAGAGGGAGGGAGGCAGGGACTGAGGAATGAAGGAAGGGACAGAGGAAGGGAAGCAGAGAGAAAGGAAACTTCAGGCCAATGTCTGTAATGAATGTAGATGAAAAAATTCCCAACAAAATACTGACAAACACAAATGCCCAAACAAATTAAATGCTAGAAAACCAAATCCAATATCATATTAGATTATTCACTATGATCAAGTGGGATCCATCCCCAAAATGCAAGGACAGCTTGACATATGCAAATTACTAAACACAAGACACCATATTAACAAATAAAGGGCAAAAAGCATATGACCATCACAACAGATGGCAAAAAGGCATTTGACAAAATTCAACATCTCTTTGTGATAAAAATGCTGAACGAATTAGCATAGAAGGAATGTACCCCAACATAATAAAGGCTATTTATAATAAGCCAACAGGTAACATCATATTCAGCAGGGAAAAGCAGAAGGCTTTTTTTTAAAGATCTGAAACAGGACAAAGATGCCCCACTTTCACCACTTTTATTCAATATAGTACTGAAAAGTCTAGGTAGCAAAATCAGGCAAGAGGAAGAAAGAAAAGACATCCAAATTGAAAAAGAAGTGAAACTGTCACTGAAGATGACAACATCTTATATTTGAAAATCCCCCAAAGATTCCACCAAAATACTATTAGAACTAACGAATTCATCTGAGTTGCGGGATGTGAAATCAAGATGCAAAAATCACCAGGGCTGGGAATTTAGCTCAGCGGTTCCTCCACCTGCCTTGCAAGTGCAAGGTCCTGAGTTTGATCCCTGGTACAAAGGAAAAAAAAATCACCAGTTTTGCTATATACCAATAACAAATTATCTGAAATAGAAATCAAGAGATC